AGTTTCTTTAAACATTCACTGCGATTTCTGTTTGTTTACACAGGTAAGAGAGAAAGAGTCCTGTTTGTGACTATTATAAATGCATTTGCCATTGGAACATAGTGCTCACTGATTAATTACACAAATTGTCTCACAATAGTCTCACACAAATTCATGTGGTCTGAAATATAATATAATTATGTTCCAAGTAGTCCCATCTGGTAGACACTGGAGGGCACAATGTGCTAAAAACAGCCCAGTTGCATAATGGCAGTGATATAATTCATTCATGATTTCATTCATTTTCAGCTTTAACTGGGTGGAAAGCCAGAAAGAGTAATAAAATAGAAATGCCTGTCACCGACTAATTCTGTCAGGGATCTTGAGCCATATCAACCTTAGCAGGGCACTGTTGTAATGGCATAATGTGATTTGGGTCACAGCTAGAAGTTTTTATGTTACCATATTGGACAGTACAGTAGATACACATTTAAACAAAGGACTTCTGTTCCCTTCTGGAAATATTGCATTTTTAAGTAGTTTTGTTGATTTTGGAACTTTTGCACCAGACCACCATGTCTGGTAAAAATAGCTTTGCTGAAGTAACGAGATTGTAAAGGTCATATCTTTTGTTAATCCTTGCCAGTTCCTGTAAACTAAGAATATAAATTGAAAGCTTCAATAAGGGATTCAGTGACAATGAAGCTTAATGAATCCATTTATTATTTCACCTTGTAATCAAATCCAAGATGGAAGTTGCATTTGAAAACCATCCCTTGAAAACACACATCTTCATGATATTTCAGCTCCAGGTCACCAGTGCATTCCCCAAATAACCTACTTTGGAATGCACACTGAGTATATGCTCCAGTACTGTCACAGTAAATTTGGACAAAATAGGATATTATTGTTTTTTTTAAATTTCATATAGTGTATACTGTACTGTATATTTCATTTATATTATTGTCTATCTTTACATCTATTGCCCTTTCACAGTATGATTACGTAATCTCAAGTGTTAAAAACATGGTGACATCAGTTTTAATGCAGAGATGTCACTCAAAACATTTGCCATCTGTTACAACTGAAAAAGGAAGAGTATAATATACTATGCTAAAGACAATTCAAACAAGACACCATGTACTGTATTAAAATATCAAAGAAGTATAAGATGGTGCCAAAATTCTGTCTTTGATTGTTCTTTAAAAACAAAAGCTTTGCTAATTATTGAATTTAATGGCATTTTTAATAAATACTGTACATTCAGATCATTTACTGCCATCATCCGTAATGCAGGGATGTGTATTAAATAGCTATTCACCACACAGCCACAGTACGGAGCTAGGGGCATCCAACATCCATGACAAGATTCCATATGAGAATAAAACATGCAAACCAGAAAAACAGAAACTTGTTTTACCTGTTGTTCAAGGTCACATCATTGATGGCATTAAGAAATAGAAAAAAAAGCAGGGGGGTCAATCACATCAAAATCAACTTCACAGTATTAAACAGTTCTCCAACATCAACCCTAACAATTCAGTTAAGTTATGCTAAGAGCAATAAACATATTATCCAATCATACTGGTCTTAGTAGTGAGAAAGGGCTGTGGAGAAGCATAAAGCAAATCACAGTAGAAAAATAATGTTTGATCTAGCCAACTGTGAGATGTAGCAGCAGCCTTACCAGGAAGAAGAATCATTAAACTGGGGTTATATCAAGGTCTTCCCCAGTGTACAAGAGGTCAGGGAGCTCAAAAAACATGTAAGACATTGGATACTGAACTGTTGTCTACATACATTGAAGTGGGCATCTAGATCTGATAATAAGACCATAATTAGATAATAATAAGAAAAGGGTATGTTATGTAGTTATGCCTTGGACATAACTATTTCAGAGAGTCAACTATTGTGCCATCCTTTTGCAATAAAAACAACCCCAAATCTGGCTGTTATTTCATTTTTCATCAAGCAGATTCAAACCTGGACTAGGATTTAAACAGGGACAAAAACACCAATTTCTTTGCACCTATAAACTTCACTGGATCTTTGTTGCAGAATCAAGGTCATGGTTAAACATCATTTCATCCTATTTCAGATACTGTAACTCTTGGAGCTGGAAGGACTATTCTTGACCAAGGAAAAAAGCAGTTTGGTAGCTTTTATCTATAAGTTGTGGCCTTCATCAGGATTGTGTTTGCTTAGTTTTCAGAGTTCAGTTTTCATGACATAATCTACTTTAAGTATGGAACTATACTGGGGTGGGGGGTATCCCATGAGCCACAGATGAAGGTCAAGAGATGTGGGAGAAACATGTGAGACATATCTAGTAATATAGGACCTGAGACCTTAAGTTAAGACAGATTTGTTAAACTGTAACACTAACTAATAGAGCCAATGCTGTATACATGAATTCAAATGAGATCTGATTAAAGAGTTTTACCTGATCTTTAGTGAGCAGCAAGTGCCAGATTTCTAATGACATACAATATCTATCTTGAAATCAACATTTCTCCTTTTATAGGAAAAAAAATCTTTGCGACTCTAAATGTGGTCAAATACACAATAAAAAACTTTCAAACACAAAATTCCTACGCAATAAACCAAAGCAGCATCCAGAAAACTGGATAATTGCTGGTTGTGCCTTAGAGAACTAAACCATGTTTTGCATTATTGCTACACCGATTTTTAATATCTTTTGTAATGTTTTTAGTCGCATGTTTTCATGCCACACTTTTCACTTCTCTGCTACTGCACTAATTAGGCTCCATACACAGTTGATAAAACTATAACATCGGCTGTTGTAAATTTCCATTGTTGATTTTAAATTGCTAGCAGGCATTAGCAAACTAGCTAGGACCTACAGTGCCTTGCAAAAGTATTCGGCCCCCTTGAACTTTGCGACCTTTTGCCACATTTCAGGCTTCAAACATAAAGATATAAAACTGTAATTTTTTGTGAAGAATCAACAACAAGTGGGACACAATCATGAAGTGGAACAAAATTTATTGGATATTTCAAACTTTTCTAACAAATAAAAAACTGAAAAATTGGGCGTGCAAAATTATTCAAATCCACATAAGGGATGACGGCAACATTCATAGATCCTGGAATGCACAATGAGGGGCAATGTTCATTCCTATTACAGAGGCCCACTGAAATTTTTTTGAGGAAAAGCTGTGTTAGACTGCATATTGTTTATAGTAAAGTATTTTTATATACAAATATAAAAATGAAAATGTTTCTGGAGTGGGACTTTAATTAATTATAGAAGTTGTGCAGAAGCTGCCCATAGCTCTACACAGTGATCCATGTGTGTACTGTATGTGTTTCTATGCTGCTCCAAATGAGTCTGTTCTGGTTCAACTTGTCTTATTAAATGAGCTTAAAAATAAAGTGACACCTTAGTTATAAAACACTGAGCAGGCTGTAACACACAAGAGTGTGTCTGCACAAATCTGGCCTTTATGGAAGAGTGGCAAGAAGAAAGCCATTTCTTAAAGATATCCATAAAAAGTGTCGTTTAAAGTTTGCCACAAGCCACCTGGGAGACACACCAAACATGTGGAAGAAGGTGCTCTGGTCAGATGAAACCAAAATTGAACTTTTTGGCAACAATGCAAAACGTTATGTTTGGCGTAAAAGCAACACAGCTCATCACCTTGAACACACCATCCCCACTGTCAAACATGGTGGTGGCAGCATCCTGGTTTGGGCCTGCTTTTCTTCAGCAGGGACAGGGAAGATGGTTAAAATTGATGGGAAGATGGATGGAGCCAAATACAGGACCATTCTGGAAGGAAACCTGATGGAGTCTGCAAAAGACCTGAGACTGGGACGGAGATTTGTCTTCCAACAAGACAATGATTCAAAACATAAAGCAAAATCTACAATGGAATGGTTCACAAATACACATATCCAGGTGTTAGAATGGCCAAGTCAAAGTCCAGACCTGAATCCAATGGAGAATCTGTGGAAAGAACTGAAAACTGCTGTTCACAAACGCTCTCTATCCAACCTCACTGAGCTCGAGCTGTTTTGCAAGGAGGAATGGGCAAAAATTTCCGTCTCTCGATGTGCAAAACTGATAGAGACATACCCCAAGTGACTTACAGCTGTAATCGCAGCAAAAGGTGGCGCTACAAAGTATTAACTTAAGGGGGCTGAATAATTTTGCACGCCCAATTTTTCAGTTTTTTATTTGTTAAAAAAGTTTGAAATATCCAATAAATTTCGTTCCACTTCATGATTGCGTCCCACTTGTTGTTGATTCTTCACAAAAAATTACAGTTTCATATCTTTATGTTTGAAGCCTGAAATGTGGCAAAAGGTCGCAAAGTTCAAGGGGGCCGAATACTTTCGCAAGGCACTGTAGGTTTGTTTGTGTTCTAGTGGGAAGTGGCACAGACAGCTGACAACCACATGAAACAGTAGACGGTGGAGCAGGCATCAGTAGTAAAGCTATCAGAAGCAGCATTTCTAGTAATAAAATTGTTATGATAACAGTAACAGATATACAAACAGGCAGAATGAAATTAAATAAGACAACATATCAGTTTACCACTGCAGTTTGTTAATATAGGACCTGAGCAGCACAGTACACTTGTATCCTGTAGTCATACATATCCAGGCACATTTTTTTTTTTTTGCTTGTTTTTTTTGGTAAATATTTGAAATGTTTGAGATAACTATGGCCTTGATATTTTTAATTTTCATTTTTGTTTTAGAGATTCCATGTTTTTTAAATGGTAAAAGGATTTGTGTCTAGATGTCATTTAAATATAAATATCATCAGAAGATGTTAAAATATAAGCTGTTCTGCTTTTATCTGTCAGGCCCTGGTTATTACAAATATATACAGGAATGGATCAAGCACCAAGTGGGTATGATGCTCAATCTACAGACAAATAGCCATGCATACAGGAAAACAATCAGTAGCTGCATCCTGCTGTCCTAGCCTACTATCACTTATGTTCAAATTAGCCCCATGTTACTTATAATCTTCGCTGAAGTTCACCAACCTTCCAGTGGGGGGAGATGTGGCGATGAGGACTCCTGGTTCTCTGAGTGTGCTGGGAGATAGGCAGGGACTGCAGGGGTCATGGAGGGAGGTGGTGTGGCTGAGCTAAGGGGCATGGCTACCGTTTGGAGCAGAGTGTCTGATGGTGAAGTGGGGGCAACTTCATTCTTACAGGAAGAAGCTGAACTAAGTGGCGTGGCTGAGGTGGTGGGTGTACTAATAAGAGGATTAAGTGCAGGTGTACCGGAAGTAACTGAGGAAGGTATGAGTGTAGCTGAGGGGACAAAAGACTTGGCATCAATGTTGAGGGTTGATTCCACTGCAGTTGGGTTGGTAGGGAAAATGGCAGTAGGAAGAACTTCTGGAATATTCTTGGGAACAGAACAAGCTTGTGAAACAGAACTGGTGGTTTCTGTTGGCGTGGACTTTGTCAGGGGAGTAGTAGCATGGGAGGGGATGTTGGTCATGGGGGTAGTGATCTGTGAGTCAGGGGTGGAGCCAGGAGGGGTCTGGAGGACAGAATCAAGGAAAGAGAAGGTCTGGGAGACTGGGCACAGACTATCCCCTGTCATAAATGCTAGACTACCACTTACATCCCCAGCCAAGCTACTCTTGGAGGTGGATGTACCAGCTGCTATGTTAATATTAGTTTCAGGTTTGCTGGTAGAAACTTTGTCATCATTTGCCTTTTGCCCATCTTCAGCAGAGATGCGGAAATTGTCTACAGACATGGGCTCATATGAACGTGGGGATGATGTAAAAGGGCTAGCAGAAGAACAGTTAGTGATACATGTGGGTATTTGTGCAGGGGTGGAGGGCAAAACAGGGCTGTGGCTGGAGTTCAGAGCTTTGAAGTCAGGGGGACCAGAGTCAGTAGCTGTAGCCCAGGTAGGAGCAGCTGTTCCTGGTGTGGGAGAGACAGGCTTCTGAGGTGCTCCCCACTCCTCTGGAAGTCTTGCCCGAGTCTTAGTCTTCCTGCTTTTCACTCTACCCGCTCCTCCACTCTGTCTGATCTCCCACTCCCAATTTTCCTTCATATCTTCTTCTTCCTCCACCTCTTGTTCGTCCCTGTCCTGCATCCCTTGCATGTCTGATTGGCCAGTCTTATTGTCCTGGCTATCCAAGAAGCTGTACACCTCATCACGGTCCTTCCTCTTCTTCTTCCGCTGTCTCTGCTGTTGCTTGTCAACCTCAATCCCCGACCTTGCTCTCTCTGGGCTGAGGGGTTCAGAAGTGGAAGATGTGGGACTGCTGTCATCCACTGAGCCACTGGGAGAGAGGATGGGAGCTGCCGGGGGGAGGGTTTTATAAGAGGAGGAACCGATCACATACAGTGTCAAAGAATCACCTGCCAAAAAGCCATCAAACTGTGGTTACTATAGGTCAGGGGTGAGTAATCCTGGCCCTCAAGGGCTGCTGCCAAGCTTGTTTTCCAACTATCTTTGCCCTACCCACCACTGATTACCTGAATCAGGTGTGTTCAGTCAATCAGGAGCTGCAAGATACCAATTCACTTAGTTTTTCCTCACTCTACCTTCCCCTAAGAGGGTATCTTCCAGTTTCTAATTGACTGAACACACCTGATCGAGGTAATCAGTAGTGGGTAGGGCAGGGATAGTTGGAAAACAAGCAGGGCAGTGGCTCTCAAGGCCCGGAATTGGCCATCCCTGCTATAGGTAGTCTTGTTACTTTATGCTTACATCTGGTCAAAATTGTTTGCCGTTTCATGGCAGTATGAGTGTAATGTCTGGTCTAATCAAATCTGTTAGATCCATATGAGTTGAAGTGATATTTAAAGGCAGAGAGGTTCTAAAACTACCAATAACTGATGGGGGGTTATTGGTTTGTGATGCAGGAATACAGCAGGCTGCTGCATAATTTGTTTTTCCTTCCTACACAGTAGATGTTTTCTTTCAGACAAGAAAGTGTATACCATTTTATGTTTTTGCATGTAGTTTAAAGTTATATTGATTAGGTTAGGGTTAGTACAATGATTAGAATTAGGGTACTTTAGACTAGCATCAGGATTTGTAAAGATGTGTTTACTGTGTGCTTAGTGAGAGGTTTAATCCAGCCTCTTAGATTGTTTGCAAATCCGTAATTTTTAAATGGGAACTTCACCATCATGATGTGTTTATAAGTGCTAGGGAGTACTGTATAACTACATATGTGAAAAAAGTTATTTCTGTCCCATCTATGGGTGTGGAGTTAAAAAGAAATGATCTTAACAGAACTCTATATCTCTGCTTGAGCTTAGTTGCTTGAGGCTATATTAGCCACTACTAGCATGACCCACCCAAATCTCGTTCCAAGCATTCAGTGGTCAAGCTGCATTGCTGGTAACACAGGCACTACTGACAAGGAATGTGTGGAATAAAATAAGACCATGCTTACGGTTGTGCATCATTGTGCATTGTGAGTCTAACAATGTTATGCTAAACTGCTGCGGTTGATCCCATTAACAGCTAATAATAACTGATCAAAAATAGACTAAGTTCTCACTCATGGTATCGTTGTTTTGCCTGCAGATAAACATGGCTTGGTATATGGGTTGGTATACAAATTTATTGGTGGTTCAGTGGTAGAATTCTCGCCTGCCATGCGGGAGGCCCAGGTTCGATTCCTGGCCAATACAAAATACATTTGGGTGAGGCAACAATTGTGCGATGGGTAGAGCAGTTGTCTCCCAACCAGGAGGTTGAAGGTTTGAATCACAGTGCCTGCAGTCAAAGTGTTCTTGGGCAAGACACTGAACCCCCCACCCCTGATGGTTAGAGCTGTCTGTTGAGTTGGTGCCATAGATGGCTGTCATTGGTTCTGTACCAGAAACAAATTCCTTGTGTGTAACATACTTGGCCAATACAGGTGATTATCCTTATGCTAGGAAAATGATGCCATAATTCCAATATATACAGTAATGGGCAAGCAGGCTCTATGCTTAACATAATGCATGCCCAGACTACCTCAAGCTCTGATTCATTTTCTCAAGACAGTAGTAGGTACAAGTATTGTATCTGCAAATTCAAGATCACCTCTACTAGTGCCATTGTGGAACTTGAAAAATGAGAAGCAGGTCCATTACTTTAGGTTAGCATCAAAATTGGCTGAGGCATAAAAAGACTGAGTGGGGCCAGCAGCTATAAGCTGATAATAGATCCTATAATAGCAGTACTATTTAGTAAAAACAGCATTTTATGAGACACATGGTACTGCAATGTGTTGGTACTGCACAAGGATGGCATATTTACCATAAAATAAGCATGGACTTTGCATCCTTGCATATACTGCTTATGTATACAGCACAACAAATATGACATAGTTAAAAGTTTGCTTCCCCGAGTGAATCCACAATAACCATAATCTGATTGCTTTTACCTTTTTGGCACAACCCTTTGAGTGTTTTCATAAAATGTGATGTATGTGATGGTGCCTGCTTTTATAAATACAAAATACCTGTACATGTTTCACTCACCTGTTACAGACTGTCTATGACTATGGTTCAGTAAAGGCTACATTAGACTGTATGTGCACAATCGAGAAAGGTATATATATATTTACAGGTGACACTTTACAGCAACATAATGGATCAATACTGGGCATCAGGTGAGGAGAATGTTCTCTATGTATTTGTTTGGTTGTGCCATGGTTACAATGTAGTTGTGTTTCATCCTCTCTGGGGTGAAACTGGTTTGAATTCACTTTTAATTTACATGTCAAGTTATTTGGATTTGTTAATGGCAACTTTGTAGAAACAAAACTGTGACTGTACAAGGTGATCCTATATTAATCCCAATGAATAAAGTAAAGTGAGAAGAAAAATGCTGAATTATCTGATTAGGTCATATCATATTATGCAAATTTTCAATTCAGAAAATTATGAATGACGTCTCACATGGACTGGTGCTGTTTTAAGACAAATCATCCAAGGGGCAGAGTTGGCACAAACAAACACGCTGGGAGCAACAGAGCTTTCAAGCAGCTTAACAAGCTAAATAAATCAAGTGCACTTCAAATCATGTCTAGCATGCATTATTAAAAATAAATACATGCAAATCTGAAGAATCAGGGTAGTAAAATGGATCATCACACACGCAGAGCCACTAAAATCATCCAAAATGAAACACTGGAATGTATAATAGAATAACAGGACAATGACAAACTGTGCACATGCAGGCTTTAACAACAAAAATTGTTCAGTTTGCACTGAAATGATCCCTTTATGATCCTGGCAATGGGAGCCTAAAGGTCAGTGAAGCAGGCTTGCGACTGGAAGGTTGCCGGTTCAATCCTGGACAGGCACAACAACTTCTAGGTGAGACAAGTGAAAGAGCAGCGCTTGTCCCTACTTCAGCACCACTGTGATAAGGTGCATTGTGCACTGCCCTTAACCCTTTCTGCTTCAGTGGAGCTGCTCAGTGGCAAGCAGGTCAGATTGTGGTTGTACTAGTCAGCTTCCTGGTGTGAATGAGTATCTATGTACTGTACATACAGTCACAAGAAACAGTAATGGCACTGTTTGCAATTTCCTTGTTTTCTGTATAAATTGGTCATGAAATGTCATCTGATCTTCACAAATATCAAACATATCAACAAACACAATATTTCTAAGATGATAAAACCCAAACAGTCATGCTCTCCTGTGTCTTTATTGTGTTTGTTGATATTTGTGACATTATTATGTGAAAATTACAAACAGTTCTATTATTTTTCTTGCGACTGTATCTGCAAGCAATGCTTTACATTGCTCATAATATGTGCAAAAGCTGTTGTGATAACAGCTGACCTCTACACCAGTACTTTACTTTCAGAGGGAGACAATCCTGACTTGATAGAACTTTATACATTACAGAAAGTTACTTTGCTGGCAAAATGGCAGGAATGGCAGGAAGCCTCAGGTTTTGACGGTCAGTGGTGTTGTTGTGTGTGGTGTGCTTCTTTATGAATCATTAACCTTAATATTATGTGAATATGAGCAGTAAATTGATTTAGTAAAAAAAATCACTTTGAATAAATATTGTGAATTTTGAATAAAGATGCTGACACAGCAGGTGGAGCACCTCCTCACAACATTTAAATAAACTAAGTCTTTCAAATCAATTTTTGCCTGCAAACTGCCCAATTATGTAATAATTCTTCTGAAGGGGCCTATAAAGAGTGATGCTAAAATCTGCAAAGAAACCAAACTCTATATAGCAGGGATTCAGGTACAAGCTACACAAGTACTGAAAGCTGCTAATAATAATAACTGCTTTTTTAAATTATATTAGTTAATACATAAAATTGCCCACACATCCTTATTTATACACACATTTTGATCATTTTTTAAACATTATAATATAACCTTCTCTATCAATGTTGTGCTGGGTCAATATCACACAGAACAAAACTGAACAAGAAACTAATTTCTGTGCTGCCCCAGAGTGAGTCCTGGCCACTATGAAAAGTGTCTAGTTCCACCATTACATCCAAATTATGTAACAGGATAGGCACATTTACATGTCAGTGGGTATTCTGTGTAGTAGTGAGTTATTTTTATGGGCAAATAAATACAACTGCATATTTTATTCTAAAAGCATGGGTGGTGTGTCAGTGATTACAGAAGCTATTAATGGCCACTATTGCAAGGTTACATATCATCTGGACTTACAGCTAATCTTTCCTAAAGTCACTTGTCTTTAGAAGAAAACTGTCTGTAGTCTATAGCTGTCTGTGTCAGCAGCAAATGAGCTTAATAGTAACTGTTACATAACAGCCAGACTGTACCGTTACCTGGTTTTGAGCTGGCAGGGCTACTGCATCTTTAATACACCACAAAAATAGAAGAACTAAAAAAAACATTTTATTTTTGTCCTTCTTTTTAAGGTTTCACCTTATGTTTAAATGCTGAAATAATTATTTGCAGCACTGCACATGTCTCAATTACAGTATCTGACATGGAACTTTCAGGCACAATTACACAGGAAGATTTGTCTGCGCTGTTAAACCCTCCTGCGTGATGACTTTTTGTTGCTTGGCAACCAGAAAATTCAGCTAGCATTCAGCTGTTAAAGACTCAAGACAGCTACTGATTGTTATAAATGTAACAATTCATCATGAAAGGCCACTAGAAGTTTCATGTGGAGCAGAGACTTGCCTACTTGCTGCCATTATCTCTACTACAGAAAACTTTTCCCTTTTTCCCTGTGTTTATTACTTAAATGGCTCACTGCTAAAGTCACATGTGTCTGTTGATCCACTTTGTCAGTAAATGAGAACAGCACACTGCACAGAGCATGAGGCTATGAGGCAACATAAAAGGAGACCTGAAACTGTTTAATCCGCAGTGAAAATAACTAGAAACGGCTGCCCTCTGCTGTTGGAAGCATGTTCTGTGTGGTCCAGGTTGTCACCAGTCACCATACACCACTGCTGCTCTGCCAGACATACCCATGCCAAAATTCTACAGTAGGCTAAAAACAAGAGGGTAACATTTAGGTTTTCTTAAATTCAGGTAAGATTATGACCAGGACTTACGACCAGGATTTATCAACTTGTGTCAGGGCTCTAGCTACAACCTTCTCTGTAACTGTGAGACAAGTCCAACCTTCCCTAAAAGATACATACAAACAGCTCAGTATTTTAATGCATCAGAGTTCCATGTGTCAGATAAACCTATTCATCTGAGATTTAGTCTAGCAAAGAAACATCATTCTTGCTCCTGAATCCACCCTCCCCTACTGCCCAGCACACAATCGCACATGCAACCAGCCCTCTTTATGATACCTGTAGAGTAATCCATAGAGTGGATTCCTGGGCCACCAGAAGAAAACGGATCACTAGTTTTAAACAGACTGTGTCCACCGGTGTTACTGGTGGTCTTGTTTTCCAGACCAAACAGGCCCGAACTCTTCTGGGTGTCCACAGCTGAACTCATCCCAGACTGGCCGTGAGTGGCGCTGATACTTGTCTGGAATGGTGGCAGCCCGGACCCCATGGTCCCTCCCATCCCAGACTGAGAGGAGCCTGACAGAGAGACCAAACACAAAGTTACAACTACTGAGCTACAACTGCTAAAACTGCCTCTATGAAAACTGTACACACATTTTTTTAAACAATATGAACCACACAGCTTGTGTTTTATCATAAATATTCCAGGTCTTATTTGTTAATACACAATGACCATGATGGTCTGATTGAAGTGTAAAATTAAAGTAGGTTGAGTGATGTATTATAATTTTGTTATAACCTAGTAGTTCTGGAAATTATACATTTAAGATACAGCATATGTGAAGAAAAGAACTGTAATCCGCACACTGATTTAATACTCAAAATAATAATTTTATTTAGGCCAAGCTGCGGTGCTAATGACATTTCAACATTGTCTTAATGGAATTCATGTTGAAACATCATTGGGTGGCGGCCTGGCCTAAATAAACATTTTTTTGGAGCATTAAATCATTAATCATTGTGCGGGCTACAGTTCTTTTCTTCATAAGTAGTAACTACAATGGATATTATCAAATTATCTGCAATATTCTACAATCACATACAATTCTGTACATACTGCCTATGTGTCATGTCTGGAGTTACACGTCTTCTTTGCAATAGACCATTTCCTGTTACATGTGCATACCAAAGGGTTAGAAAACACACTGCCACAAAGTCACAATGTAAAAGTCTTAATTATGGATGCTTTCTGGTGTTAGAGGTAACTTGCAAGTTAGCAACTGGGAAGTATACTGTTTAAAGATAAAAGCATGCAACCCCTCTCTCATGGTGACTGTGACAAGGTATGGGGATAACAATCAAATGGTATTTGTTTTATACCTGCCAAAACTTTTGTCAGGTGTAATGAAATAAGCAGTTCTACATAGTTTACTGAAATGATCATGATGTATTTGATTCTGCATGTAGGAGCCATATAATGACATATACTATACTGACACTGAAAACAAAAAACTAACAGCTGTCTTCAAAGAAAACAAAAGGTGTACAATGTAAAAATATGATTTTCAAGGACTGAGTAACAAACAAAATTTGCTAAAGCAGTTACCCACATACTACATATTCAGTATTATGTTTGAAACCATGTATATATCAAACTAATGAAACAGTACTGAACATCACCATTTATATTTTTATTGTTTACCTCCCAGGTTCATTTTCACACAAAATATCTAAGTAATTGTGAGAGCGAACGAAGGAAGCCCTGTTAATGAGAACAACACACACAGTATATGGCAGGGAATCCAGGCAGTCACAAACTACAGGAACAAATCAACAAACACAGCCCCCAGGACGCCACCCTCCCATACAGCCTCAACAAATTCTATGCAAGGTTTTGACAGGATGAACACAGACACCCCCTCAAAATCCCCCTGCAACCTGGGGGACACTGCTTTTCAGGTGACTGTTTATGCATAAATGGTAAATAAAAATCTTGAATCTTGAAATGAACAAGTTTCACACAAACATACCTTCGTTTCTACCGCACGGATATACAGTATGTTGTGTCTGTTTTAGTATTTCATGGCGGATTGATCTGCTTTGAAAGCAGCTGTAGTTGGTGATAAAACGGGCAACGCATTCCCTGGCTCTGTGGTCTGGTGGACCACAATGGAGAATATGACTGGCAGGAGAAGAAGATACAGGGAAAGAATCTTTCCCCTCACATAATTTCTTTGTCCTGACATTCAGGTTTCTGTCCTGCTAAAGGGGATGAGAGGAGCTGGTTTGATTGGACATAACTAAAGCCAGCCCCGACTCCACCTGCATTCCCTGCTCTAATAATGTATTTCACTTGTCCTTCATAATGTGCCAGGTAACACATTGCTACAGATGAAAGTATGCTGCATCTGTGGTCACCAAAACTGCAACACACCATTGAACACACCCATATTCACCTTGCACCTAGAGTTAGACAGGTCCTTGTGAACATTTTAAGATTTTACTTGTGAGTATTCATGAACACATTGAAAGTTGTCCAAGTGTAAAAACCAGCACTTCTTTCACCCTCACCAGACAAATAGTCAGAGCTGAAGACATGCTGTCCAGGTGGGTCTTGACGTCCGCCTGATGACATCACTGACGACATCATCCCTGGTCCTAAAGCAGATAAAGAGCATTGTCACCATCACCCCCAATAAACAACAGGGAACATCAGGAAACTAGCTTTTTTAGCTGCCCAAGCAGTTTCATTTTATCAAACGCCACATCTATTTGTCAAGAATAAAAAAAAATCCTTTTTTAAAATTATTATTATTTACATATATATATTACATCTGTTGTAGTTAATAGTTAATAGATCACAGTGCGGGTTAGATGCTTGCCTTACTCCTGTAAGCTCTGCCTTTTACTTTGTAAACTGTTGTATAAGTGTTTGTGTGCTGGAGTGGGAACACCATGGATATGGGTTATCATGACCTGGAGATCAGGTCCTGTTTTGGATATGGATAACTTACTGAATAAATATTCCACAGAACATTTCCTAGAAAAGGGATGTTAGTACTGATGGAAAACTGAGAATTTAGCATGAACAGGATAACAACAGGATGAATAATGAATAGTGTGAGGAGATAAAACTCATGTTAGGCTGTATTAGAGAGAGGAGGCAGAGGGAACACGGCTGCTCATGCACAACCACTTCTCTGCAGAGAAAAGGTGATTCTGTACCTACCCTATTTGGTATCATTGTAATAATAAATGCTCATTGGAATTGTATTGATTTGTCTGTGATGTAATTTGTGCCACCACAGAATTATTCCACTACATTACTGTCAGCCTTCCATGAATCCCCCTTCTCCTAAAGCATGTCTAGATTCGACTGCAAGTTGGAAATACTCACACTTCACGCCCTTACACACTACAATCATGTAAAACCCTCTACATCTATTTGTAATGTCATGTATCTGTTGTCCTATCTTCCATGTTCTGACCTGTTTTGTTAAAGTGTTATTTTGTTTCAATAAAAAAAAAAGATTGCACAGTAAGCACACCCATTAGGATATTAAAGAGCTATTCCTTGATTTGCACTGTGTCACCATGAGATGGCGCTTTGTTCTCAAAAACACACATACCAAATCTTGACTGCCTGAAGTCTTGTATTCACACTGCAGAGTTTTGTTTAGCCCACGGTTTATACAATAGAATTATGCGACCATAATCCTTATCATACAGGTACTGCGCAAGATAAATAATTATGTGTTACACTGACTTTCACATTTTTAGTCAAAGATATAATAAACATTTTACTGTCCTATCTCAATCAATAAACAGGCTCCAACAAAAAATGTCTGTAAAAGCTGTCTTCATACACCTTCACACACCTTTAAATCCTTGCTCTAAGTTCCTCTCTATATAACATTTCCATGTCATGACATGGGGATGAGAGGAGCTGGTTTGATTTGACATACCTAAAGCCTGCCTGAACTCCATCTCATTAAAAATTCCTCACACTAGTAATATGCCTTGCTGCATCAAACATGATCACCAAAATTACCTGACACACAGACATAAGTGCCTTTGCCTGGGGTTTAGACTTGCATTTGCCTCTGATCCCTATTTCAAGAAAACAGGCCCAGTGTCTTCCTGTGAGATATAGTGAAGTTGAAATATAAAATATAATAAAATTGAAATACTCAGGGTACAAGTACTCAACATTTTATTTAAATCCAGTACTTAACCTCCCTAACAGCAGTTTGGAATCAAGCTGAAATGAGGACACATTTTTGGCACAGAACCAATATAAGTGCAACAGTGGATGCCATGAATAATTAACAAGTGTGCATTAACAGAGTGTTTGTGAGAGCCTGTGTTTCTTTAGGCTATAGCCATTTTGGGATCTATAAAGGTACAACATTGTAAAATCACTGAAATTATGTTCAACTGAAACCACACAAATACGCACAAACAAACAGCAGATGCATTAAGTGCAGTCTGTCAGGTTTGCCCGGCTGCACCTCCTTTCTCATACCCCTCACTCTGTTTTCTCTCCCTTACCCTGATTACGCTATCCTCTACACCTGCTTGTCACCAGCTGCACCTGATTAGTTTCTCCCTATTTAGTCCCTGCTCTTCGTTCACTCCCTTGCCAGTTCTTTCTAGCTTTTCTCAGGCCCGTTTGTTCCCCGTCG